AATCACCTTTTCACACCTTTCCTATTTTCCTGATACTTAACAATTTGCTTTTTCTGATGGTAAACGCTCCTTCCTAAAGTTATTCTCGAAGTTTCACCTAAGGTCCGAACCATTGGAGGACTGTCAGGTGTTACTCCTCGACCTGCATCAGTGGGTCCACAATGACTGCGGCTCATGGGATGCGCCAAAGGGGATGCGGCAAACACCGGTGTCAACCCCAGGCTCAAGCAACCAACCATAAATCATGGGGATATAATATGATATAATGGAAGGCATATAATTTGACTTGTAGTCAACTTGATATGATCTTAGCCGTGGCTGCAAATGGATGAAAATGGGGTATACGGCGGTATACCGGTATACCACCCTAAATTGGCCATACCTGGGACCACGATGACAAGGATGACAAGCCATTGGACTTGTGTTTTGTTTCCCCTTATTTGTAAGACCTAATCCTTGAACGTGTCCCAAAGTCGGGGTTCATTTCGAGGCATACCCCAACACCCTGGGGAAGAATATGCTGTCACATCACCACGTGATTTGCGAGATAGTAAATAAGGTTTAGAGTCTAGAGAAATCCTTGAAAACGATGTTGTAAAAATGGTGCAAAGCATTTGAAAATGTGTTCATGAAGTTTCCTATAAGGTTGATCGTGAAATGCCACGAAGCACAATGATTTCGCGTGAAATAAGGCAGCAAGTGCCAACCAATTTCCTGCAACCGACGCCTGGACGTCACGAAGAAGGCTGCAAGATTTGGGGCATTTAAACATTAAACGGGGGCTACGGCCTGAATCAACCTGATTGTGCTGGTTTGGGTCGGCAAGGTCCGGGGGTGTCCAATGTAGGGGGGATGGCAGTGAAGGCCCAAGCGGACATGACGATATGTTGGTCATAGTTGGGCTGCATTCACTTACACCAATTTCAAAGTGATTGCCAGCGTGCTGATGTTGATGGCCTATTGAGTTCGATCTCTCTCTCTCGGAAAGCCTAGCTGGCTGATGACTACCATATTTATCTGTCAAAAAAACGATTTACCTCTGACAAAAGGTGATTTACCTATAAACACTGGTGATGTTCTATACTTTCCCTCTTTGATTCCTGGTGTTTCTTCCTCCCGTTTGCATCGTGACAGTTCACCGCCAAGGCGCGATGACCGAAAGATGAAGGCCACATCAGGAGATGCTTCGCCTGTCATGATGCGGTGATTGACTGATTCAAGGTAAGTCTTGGTAGTTATGGTATGTTAGGTCTGTTAGGTGAATTCACACAAATATATATATACACACGTGCATATACATATTGTGTGTGTTATATACTATGTACATAGAAATAGATATAAATACACATACACACATATATATATACATACATATATGTGTGTTTGTGCGCGCGTGTTCCTGTGGAGAAAGCTCCTTAGCAGTGCAGTTGACAAAGTACTATTCTATTATGCATATATTGGCAGGCATGCATCTCTCGGTGCAAAAATAAATATATATATATATATATAGAAATATTATACATACCTATGCGTATGTAAGCATGCGTAATTATCTGTGTGATCCAATTCCGTGTTAATAATATTTACATACATTACATACATTACATACATTACATACATTACATACATTACATACATTACATACATTACATACATTACATACATTACATACATACATTCCATACATTCCATACATTCCATACATTCCATACATTCCATACATTACATACATTACATTACATACATTACATACATTACATACATTACATACATTACATACATTACATACATTACATACATTACATACATTACATACATTACATACATTACATACATTACATACATTACATACATTACATACATTACATACATTACATACATTACACATACATTACATACATTACATACATTACATACATTACATACATTACATACATTACATACATTACATACATTACATACATTACATACATTACATACATTACATACATTACATACATTACATACATTACATACATTCATACATTACATACATTACATACATTACATACATTACATACATTACATACATTACATACATTACATACATTACATACATTACATACATTACATACATTAATACATTACATACATTACATACATTACATACATTACATACATTACATACATTACATACATTACATACATTACATACATACCATACATACCATACATACCATACATACCATACATACCATACATACCTACATACATACATACATACATACATCAATACATACATACATACATACATATATATATTAATATACACAAATTGATCAATTTTGCACATACATATACCATCATATACCTACAAACATATTGGAAGTGATGGGTGCATATACATGCATAAATGTGCTTACTGCCAACATTGGGGTGATAGGTATCCATTTGGATGCCTTGGCAATATATATATATATGTGTGTGTATATATATTTATGTATATATATATGGGGGGTGCTTTTTATTCCTTTAAGATTGTTTCCATTTAGGAGTTCTTGCGCCTCTCCCTTGCGCGCCTTTAAGATTGTTTCCATTTAGGAGTTCTTGGGCCTCTCCCTTGCGCGCTCTTGCGCGCTCTTGCGCGGCCTGCGTTTCAGTCACTTTTAAAGTTTTGGAGAGTTTTCTATGAGCATGGTTCCACAAAAATACAGGCATTAAAAAATTGACCTGGAATCAGTTCTGCAAGAACAGAATGTGGAGTCTGAGATGGTGAGCGGTAACGTTTTTCGAAGTGGTCCAGTAATTGAACCAAATCACACAATCTACAAATTTCTCCTGCAATTCCAAGGCAATGACGCTGTACCCGAAGAGGCATAGAGCCTAAGATGGTGAGCAGTTAACGGCAGCTGTTTCTGGAAAGATGCTGAACTTAAACACGGCCATTGCCCTTCGAAATGGTCCGGCAATGAAACCAAAACATACAAAAATAAAAACATCTTTCCTGCAACTAAAAAGCAAAATAAAGCAATGATGCTGTATCCGTATCCGAAGGAGCATAGAGTCTGAGATGTTGAGCCGGAAGGTGTTTCAGAGTGGTTTCAGACCGGTTTCAGACCCTTTTGGGGGCCCTCTTTCCGGAAAAGAAGCTGAACTTAAACACGGCCGTTTTGGAAATCAAAAGCCCCAAGGTGAATTAAGGGAACGTAAGCTTATTTCCCCTAAGGAAAGTGTCACAAAATAGAGGTGTCGACTGCCTTCATTCAATATTTGTTTGAGTACTTGATTTCCAAAACGGCCGTTTTGGAAATCAAAAGCCCCAAGGTGAATTAAGAGAACGTAAACTTATTCCCCCTAAGGAAAGTGTGATAAAATATGGGCGTCGACTGCAAAACCTCCCCCACACACACACATGGGCAATGTGTCTGAGATGTTGCGTAGGAACATACCCCGTGTTGCTGGAAACCGCAGAAGGAGAGGCGTTTAGATTTTGTTCTATGTCTTTGTGCCCAAGCAATTCCTGGCGTACATGAACATACAGGCAATATATTTTAAGATATAATATGTAGGAAAATAAGAACGACATTTGCCTGTATATATAATATCCTTGCGCTCTCCCTTGCGCGCTCTTGCGCGGCCTGCGTTTCGAGCCATATGGCTGCCAGGTTGCAAAATCCTAAAATCAATTTCCTTTTGACGAATACTACGGGGTAAAAAAAAAACTCTCATATTTATATATATATACGTATATATATATATATACATACATATACACATTATATATTACATGCACTTCGGGAAACTCCAGGTCCAGGATACCAAATAGTAGAGTCTCCAACCAGTGCAACTGACCACATCCGACATCATCCGATTTGTGCAATGCTGATAAATCTCCTTTTTCTGATGCGCAAGGCTGTACAGCGGGGCGCGCTGAAGAACGCAAGTTTTTGCGCTCTGCAAAGATTCCAACAGAGTTTTTGAACCGTCGCTTGACCTCAGGGCCAAATCCTTACAAATGTTTTCTCCAGTGCGGTCATCCCATTAGAGTAGCAGGATAGTCCCTGCTAGTTATCCCTCATCAGTACCAACAAGTATAGCTTCACATGGGAACCTATGGTAGGCCATTTGCAAGACTGCGAACTCGTCTACTGCAGTCTGTAGAGGGTTCCGCATTAGCTTTCAACATAGACATTGACATTATAGTGTAGCCCCCCAGAACAACATACATATTTGATGCTCTATCTTGAACACATGCAAGCTCTATGATTTTGATGGTGTGTGTGTGTGTCCGTGGTTCATTGGGCTTACCAGACTTACAGTCAAACGCACAAGTCACTATGATTACTTCATATGATTACTTCCAGAATTCTACTGTTTACTTTGATGCTTACTCTGGTATGATTACTACGGCCATCTCTATGATTACTGCTATGGAAACAGGTGAATGCTGCCATCAAATACGTGCAAAATTGCCCGAAAGGTCAATGGTCAGCTCACTGTGTGACAGCAAAGAGTGCAAGCAATTTGCACTTGGTCACTCTGTGAATTCGGTTCCATTAACTCTGCGCAAGGCCAACAGTGCGTCAAGATAGAAGGCACATGGAACCAACCGGTTGCAACATATATAATATATTCCGCATGGTCATGCTCAGGGATCTAGTAAACATGTCAAGAAACCAAATGATGATGAGAATGATGATTAATGTACAGGGCTCGGACTGTCCTGCAATTTCACGGTGGAAAGGGCCAACTCTAACGTGATAATTCAGCTAAATTGATAGGAAACAAAATCATGATATTGATATTACTTTAAAACAATGAATGACATTAAAAAAAAAAAAACATCCTTACTATCCCATTATCAATCTGTTTTGATTGTAATAAATAGTTCGCTAACCTGAAAAGTGTGGCTATTTTGAGATGGTTACAATACCCCTTGCCGACCATCAGGTCAATGATATCAACATATTAATGTATATAATAGTATATATATCCTCCCAAAAAAGGGATGTCACATGATGTCACATGCCTTCATTTTTCATGAGATCGGCAAAGGCCGCGGCATTTTTGCGCATACATCCCAAGATGCTGTACAAATTTTCGCCCGGCCTGGGGCGATCGGTGGGGCCTGGTTATGACGTTTGATGGGGGGCACCACCTTCACTGGGCACCATCTTCTATGGATTCCTCCTGGTTCAAGAAGGGGGAAGTTAAGATTTCGGTACGGGGTTAAGGCAAGTTAGGGTTTGGGCGTTTGGGTTTGGGGGGTGGTCCTGGAAGTTATGTGTTTGGCAGTGAACACTATATACATCTATATACATGTTTTGGCCTTCAGGAATTTACTGCTGGAGGATAATATGGGTGGAGAGGAAAAAACTGTCCAGACATGAATGGACTAATCAAAGCTCTGAGTAGCATGGTCTCTATAGGAGGGAAAAACATTCTTGGAAGGGAAAAGACCCTTAAAACATTGTGATGGTATATAGATCATTGTAACGATACAGGTATCATTGTCATATTCTGTAATGTTGCATGGCATTGTACCACATCACACTGCATGGCAACATCTGACATGACACTTTATATGACATTGAATTGATTCACACCGGCGCGCAGCACAATATACAATAGATTTGCCCAAAAATTGGGGATGCCCCGAACATGGCCATCCTAATAATGAAGATTATCAACCGTGAGTATGTCGTGCCCTACTTTCAAACAAACCCATATACCTATATTATATACCCATATCCAAAAAACAGCCGTTTTCCAAACCAAGAGGCTCGTCAAAACGACACAGCAGGATGTTGGCTCCGGTACTGATGGCGACCTAGTAGGGCCCAGAAAGGAAGTTCTGATTTATCAGAGGCCCCCTAAATAGTGATACAATATTCTAATATCAAACTTTTGCAATCGAATTGGGGTCTCAGGATCTAGATCATGGGTCATAGATCATCCAAATTTAAGTTTGATTTAATGGGTAATTCCCTTTCACCCCTTCGTGCTCTTGGTAAGTTTCCTGAAATTAATAGAAATTATTTGCCAGCACTTGTTTTCACACATTTCAATGGTTTTCCCCTTATTATTTCAATATAAAATTTACTACAATTTTACTATGGGCCTTAAATGGCGAACTGGATTGAAATGGTGGTCTTGGACCTGAACAATAAAAGATGCCATGTGTTTGAGGCTTGGATTCGGTTGATACAAAATGAATGTGAATCATAGATGTATTTTTTTAATAGATACTTTGGTCTTGATTAGGGAATCCCTTCGGCAGCAAATTGTAATTGACCTTAGTTGGATATAAACTTAAAAAATGCGCTTATCAGGGAACTTCTTCGCCAAGAGCATTTTAATTGATGTTTGTATTGGGGCGACGCTACAGATTGGACATGATTGGACAATTGACTTCTTAATGAAGGAGTTGATTCTTTTTGGTATTATTAGGAACCTCTTCGGTGAGCATATGTTGATTTACGTTCGCATGTCGATATTGTTGATTAACTTTGCATGGTTTTGGTCCAAATGCTGCTTTTATATTCCAGGTCCGGGTGTACCCGGACATCTCCTGTATAACATATATCGCACTTGCACTATAATTACAGATACTTTTTTTTGGCCTAGTTTTAGCATGCTTTAACCTGTTTTTGCCTATTTGGGTGGATTTGAGCATTTATTAGGGGGCGGGCGAAGGGAATACGTAAATGAAACCTTCTGTCCACGGAGCTTTTAAAAAGCATGGGACCAGACCATGGTAATGGGTGGTTATATTGCCCATCACCAAGTCTACACAATTTTCCAAGGGTTACCCAGGCAAGTTCCTCCCGATCACATGTGCCACCCATGGCCAATAAGTAGGGTAGGGTCTAGGGCTCAGAACTTTGCATTGAAGTCTCAGATTAGTTTGCCAAACAAATCTCTGCGGACTTTGTGGACCTTTTTTCCGTTGCGGCCGATTATGGGGCATGAGATCTGCTGAAAAAAAAATCCGGCGGAAAATTGAGATCCTGTGACACCGAATCGATTGCAACAAAAAAATTGCGGACTTTAGGAACTCCACTACACAAATTGTGTACCTGACTTCTGCTGAAAAAAATTCTCGGCGGAACTTAGTATTCAGACCTATGGTTCGACGGAACTCATCTTCTGGTTTTGTGTAGTGGACTTCTGCTGATTCAATGCTTTTCCCTAGGATTTCTGCTGATTTTGTTTTTCGCCATGTGTTTGAGACTTTAAATTAGGTTGCTACAAAATGAATGTGAAACTATATGTAAAGTTTTTTTTTAAAAAATAGGTACTTTGGTCCTGATTAGGGAATCCCTTCGGCAGCAAATTGTAATTGACCTTAGTTGGATATAAACTAAAAAAAATGCGCTTATCAGGGAACTTCTTCGCCAAGAGCATTTTAATTGATGTTTGTATTGGGGTGACGCTACAGATTGGACATGATTGGACAATTGACTTCTTAATGAAGGAGTTGATTCTTATTGGTATTATTAGGAACCTCTTCGGTGAGCATATGTTGATTTACGTTCGCATGTCGATATTGTTGATTAACTTTGCATGGTTTTGGTCCAAATGCTGCTTTTATATTCCAGGTCCGGGTGTACCCGGACATCTCCTGTATAATAAATGTCGCACTTGCACTATCTTGTACTCATTAATAACATACAATTTTACTTCCCAGCGATGTCCCCAAATCAAAGTCAGCGATTGCAAAAGTTTTATCCTATATGTATATATATAAAGTAGGTAGTATGTGTACTTAACTTATATTAATGGCAATTAATTAGTTAATCAGATCCCGCTAGCAATAATCTGTGCCAAATTGGGTTCCACAAGGGCCAAATCCAATGCTCAACCAATATGTTTTTGGGGGTGATGAATTTGACAAAGGGGTGGCTGAATTCACCGACGGGTTGACATTGGGGTTTCACCATCACTTGGACCAGGGCATCCCGTCAGTATCAGCGCTACGTTTCTGGGTTTCTGGGTATCTGTATACATCAAAGGGAAGAGAAAGCTGATTGCCAACAGAGATGCACCGGGTTTAAAAACAGGAGATGCTGAGAATGGCCAATTTGGATGCTGACAATGAACCCAAAAAATGGTGAAGATTTATGGCATTGGATTTGCCTCACCCAATCGATCCACCATTTTTCATGGTTATCCTCCTACAAACTAACATAGATTACATAGATGTAGAAACCGCACTATCTGTAGACTGCCTTCCTAGGAAAACCATGGAAAAAATCGTAGGTTTTCCACACCTTTTTGTACGTTTACCCCAGGGCAAGCCCCCCATTTCTCACTTGTGGTTGGTTAACAATTCTCCCTATCAGGTGTAATAATCACCAATACATTAGGTAAATCACCAATAAATTAGGTAGTAAAAGTGCCTATATTAACCCTTCAGCAAGGGTATTGTTAATCATTAGTTACAAATTGCTAAAACTTCAGATTCTTTCATGATTACGATTTCTTTATTATCGATTTTTACTTTCGGATCCACCCCAATTTGCCATACATGACAGTGTCTCCAACTTTACCCCTCTGAAAAATATGAGTTCGTCAGTTGGGATTACTATTCCCAATATATGGAAAGTCATAAAAGCCATGTTCCAAACCACCAACCAGTTTGTGGTTCCCTTGAAACTCCTCACATCCCCCTGCTACCAAAGTGCCACTCCCAAACCGTCCCGGCGCCATTTGGTGCTCACAGCAACCAAGGTCGTGTAGGGTTCATCGTCCAGATCAATGCGTAAGATCCCTTGGACGACCATGGTATCAATGGGGATATTTGCTGGGAATTTCACAATGAACAATGGGGATTCTAATCAATTTACCTACGCAGTCAAGCTTGAGGTTGATGAATGTGTTTCCATCCCCCTAATGAATAGCAACTAGCCACAGTAAACAAGAAAGCCACCAAAATACTAGTTCCACTACTAAGCCGCAGCGGTATGGGGGCGGTTCAAAAATTCCTGAGAACCTCTACAACCAAAACGTTCAGAGACGTCAAATTGTGCATTCCAACTTAAAGGAAACCATCTAGTAATGTATGTAACTTAGCTATTGTGTAAAATTGCCAATATATACGTGATTTACCTACAACCAAAGGCAAATTCCATACCTAGGACCTAATTACTGAAAAGATCCAAATCGTGCAATCATATTGCCCCTCCTTAACGGCACCTGAACGGTCTAGACCAATGATTGGTAAACATTCTGCGCAAACGTGCGGCATACAAGGTGGTGCCACCCCAGCATTACGAATTTCTAACCTTTTATATGATCCTAAATAGTTCAATATATCAAATCTCCTAGAAACCCGACTTGACCTACATGTTTAAAACCAATTTACAGCACTCTCTGGTAATGAAACATGGTTTGCTGCAACATCCACCATGTATAGATGATGTTCCCGGCTAGGAACCTCCATTTGTAGAGCATTACCCAGCTAGCCAGGATTGATTACCATAAGTTGGCTGGTAGTTTACCATGAATATCCATGAATCACTATTTCTGACTTTTGACCACAGTTAACCATGAATAACCCTTAGCAATTAACTATGGTTTCCAGATGATAGCTACAGGCCACGTTCTTTTCCAATAGGTCCTGCGGTCCTGCCAGCAGTTTCCAACCAGGGAGCGGAACTTGCGCCCAGCCAGCCACAAACCAGTCTCGGGAGCATGGCCCTTCTCTATCTCAGCCGGTTTGGACCCAGACAGTTGGTTCCGGCATTCTTAATGGCATGAGACTAACCATTCCCATATGCTCCATGTATGGAATATATACCAACATTTACCCCACAAATGACCCAAATGTAGGTAAATATACTATACATGGAGCATATGGGATTGTAGTTAGCATCCATTGTTTGAGATTTAGACTAACCATTTATAATCATTTATAGTTACTACCTCAACATCCATTGTCTCATGGATTTAGTGGCTGGGCATTTACCAGCCATGTTTGACGGTCACCATGATCATCCGACTCTGGTTCCGGCAACTCATGGTGAATCTTGGCATGCCATCAATGTCATCCATTCATATAAGCGGTCTCTACCCCACGCAAACAGCCTGGCCAAGCGTAATAGTTTTAAAATTACCAAATAATTGCGCTGATAAGAAGCACTGGTATAATATATATATATAATGATATATATATATATATTATAAACTATATATATATACATATGTATAAATTCTGTTGCTGTTGCCATTGTTCTTTGTGATGAATTATGTTTGTTGTTGGTTGTTGGTTGTTGGTTGTGGTTGTTACTGCTGGTGCTGTTGTTGTTCTTGTTGTTCTTGTTGTTGTTGTTGTTGTTGCTGTTGCTGCACTTGTTGTACTTCTTGTTGTACTTCTGCTTGTTACCAAATTTACCAGCAAAGCAAATATGCCAGCCAAAAGTTTTTTTTAAAAATATAAAGCATACACCTCTGCCAAAGTTAAAACCATTGAGGTCGTGCCATGTCGTGTTTCGATTCAGCAAGGTCACTGTGAACTTGAGGATTTCCGCCTGGCGTTTCCCATGGAATCCATGGAATCCAGGTCTCTGGGAGAATTTGGATGCACAGATGATGGGTCTTTTTCAGGGTGCTTTGCACACTTTGCCCAAAGTTGGAATATTCAAGATCTATAAAGTTGGAATCCCAATCTCTGCTGGACCCAAAAGTTGATTCGCCTGATGAAATCATCTTGTTTTTTGGGCACCAGAGCTGGAAAAATATCCAAAAAGGTCAAAATGACACGAAAATTGAAACACAACAGGTGTGGTTATCGCAAATCTTTACATCTTTTACAAGCCACGCGTCATATGAACTACCATCTGGTAATTCAACATAGCCACGGAAAATGGCTCATTTAGTTCGATGATGTACCGTTCAAACATTCTGACGTTCCAGAGAAAACTGATAGATTACCAGAGAGCGGAAATTCTTACAGACCAGTTTGTGCAGCACCGCGGTTTACCCATCTCTCGTGAAGTGGAAAAAGCCTACCCTCTGGTAATCGAACAACCTGGCAAGCAACAATCCAACAGGCCCCATTCATATATGGATTGATATCCCAACTTATTTCTATATAGATTCTAGAACATACTTGAATGTTTATTACCCACCTGCAAATGGAATAGACACCGATACACAAGTCTCAATATATATATATATTATACATACAACCATAAATATATATATATATATACAGATATATTTATATATACATACACACACACACATATATATATATATGTGTATATGGGCTGGTTTCCACGGACGAACAGGGAAGCATATCCAAATAATGTGGTCAAACGAAGAATGGCATCCGTTTTTGTCATATGGCTTCTAGTTTACCTCCCAATACCTCCCAATAATGATCAAACTGGCAAATTCGGCCAATTGGGGATTGTTTAACACATCGAGGCTACAAACTGCTATCAACCCTTCAAGGGATTTCTGCAATCTATTTTATTTCCTACTTGTGGGGGTTCCTTTGGTCATCCCTGCTCCCACACCCAAGTGCTGGAGGATCATCTTACAAAGCAAAACTGCTCAACAAACCAGGTCAGAAAGTGACCTTCATGTGGAGTCACAAGGAGAATAGCGACCCAGCTCGTGGTGTACGATCCTGGTGAACATGAATCATCATTTTTTGATTTTCGAATTATATATTCCATAAACAAACAAACTGGTTATAACATGTTAACTGAAAGAAAGGTGGCTACTAACCATTTATGATCCCATCCAACAATCTAGGGCCTCCTTGATCGGCATCTCCTCACTCTTCTCCTCCGAGACCTGCATATACTCAGGCATCTGCAGTCGAGCCTCACCTCCTGGCCCGGCCAAGTTTCGCTATGTTGCTTAGAATAAGGCCAGTAACTGGATAATTTTGAAGCCCAAAAGTGGGACAAGTGGGACATTTTAAGGGACACCATCCATGTCGAGAAATCCCCAGAATCCCCCGGAGCCGCCACCTTCGCTGCAGGCGAAGACAAGGCCATCCGCCTGAGAGGCGATGCCGGCAGAGGTGAAGCAGCCGGGATTCACCAGCAGCTCCTGCGGCAACGGTGCGGCAACGACACGGTGTTGGAAGTGGGGGAGTAACCTGCGAAACAGAAAGTATCCTCTGTTTTTTCAACATAGCCATGGAAAATGACCCATTTATAGATGATTTACCTACTATGGTGATTTTCCATGGCTATGTTAAATAACCAGATGGTAAGTTAGATTTAATAACGGAATCTCTGGAGCATAAACACCAGTTAAATGAATGGAAGATCTGTCTTAGGGATGTTGATGTAGAAGCCTTCCGGGAAAATCTGTGTGGGTAGATTGTTATGGATGTTCTATCTGGGTGTTGCAAAAAATGGGTTGTAAAGACAAATAAAAATCAATAGCATATATATATAATAAAATAGAAACCACTTACGATTCCTGGGATGCCAATCCGGGATCAACTTTTGAAGTTGGGCCAGAATTTCGGTGAACATTCTGACGTGTTTGTGAAC